TCAGTCAGTCAGTCAGTCAGTCGATCGATAACTCGATTGATCGCTAATTCAATCTATTTATAAGCTTAGCCAACCTAACATTGATCTGAGGGGAGGATGAAGGATAGAAAGTTGATGTCTCTTCATAGGCCTTATTATCAAGCCAATTCCTCTCAAGTTATTCTTAGACATGGTACCTAGTTCTTCCGCCGATAAGGTCACCGCCCAGGTTGCGTGGATGTTTTCGTAGAGGACGAAAATCATTCAGTGCGAACGTCAAACCCGCCTGAGCTGGCATGGCCACGTGAGTATAACGCGTCACAGGACTGGATTTTTCTAGAATCTCGTGCGATTTGCAAACCGTGAGTGATCTAAAAATGACTCGAGCCTTGAGAAGGATTCAGCCTAGAAAATAAGGTCTATATGGGGGTGGGGNTAGTCACTGCGTTTAGTGATCAAGTATTTCATGATGTCAAATTAGCAGCTCTTTACGCCAACTAAACTACAGGCTTAGGAGCACTCTGAGAATGTCATAGACACGCTTGAAGGGAACAGCGATATTCATACCTTTCTAAGGGTTTCAACTGCGTTTTTGATACCACTCATAGATAGTAAACTATAAGATCTCACATTTGCAGTCATCGCGGCCTAAGTAGGTTTTCCTTTGCAAAGAGATGTACAGTCGAACCCCTGTTAAGCGGCCACCTATTAAACGGCCACCCCTATTTATAGGCGGCCAGTAATCAAAGTCCCGATGAGGGCTTTTCAATTGTCTTTACCTCTATTAAGCGACCAGCCCCATTTAAGCAGCCACTATCCATTTCTCCGAGGGTGGCCGTTTAATAGGGGTTGAACTGTAATGACAAAAGTAAAAACGTAAAGAAAATATAAATTATATTCATCCTCATTCGTTCGCTATGCGGTAATTGTTATTTTATATACGAAACAGAACGTCCTTTCCATGCCTCTGCGGCTCTCTGATGGAGTGGTAACCATGGTAACTTCACTCGCCCTCAGCTTGTGAACTTCTTTCAAATAAATATTCTCATGTTTCATTATGTCTCGAGCATTTTACAGTCATCATTATTTATCAATTAGAATTATAAAGAATCTAAGCTGACTGATTTTGTGGTGCCTCTTACTAACCAAGCGTGAAGGCCGTACTGGGGAATATTGGTCCGAATGCTTGGCAGGACGGACCGGGCGTATCGAAATTGGTACAAAGACGACCGAGGATAAATTTTCCCCACGGTACGGCTCGAGCAAGCTACAATCATGGACAAAAGTCTTGGAACAAACTTGCACTTTTGGCGCTTTTATATATTCATTGTAGAAATCTGTGACAAGAATATGCCACAATACGCATTTTGTAGATTTTTGCAACGACACTAATTTTAGCACATATCTGAAAACTTCCGTAAATGAAAGTAACCTCGTTCCCATGGCCTTTACTCTTGCATGGGAACGAGGTTGAAATGCAAGTCCAGAAACATGACAGAAATTTGGTTCACCCTGGCCCCTTCTACTTCCAAGGCTATTTTTAGAACTCCTCAATCGTTGGTGGAAGGAACATAGCGCATAAAGAGGCAGCGCTATCTATGAGCTGAAGTACCTAAAGGGCCACACCAGACCTTAGCATAATTGTTTCCTTAGACAAAACCCCACCCACTCCTCCCTGCAAACAATGTCATAAAGAATACGTCATTGAAAGTTATACAGGATATTTTGAAACCAGGTTTAATTAAGTACACTGACTGCGAAGTTACAATGACTAAAATAAAGCTGGTTAAACGGATCACCGGAGAAAAGAGAGATGGAAAATAAGCATCGTGAAGCAAAAAGTGGACGTTAGCACAATCCAGGCCACTGACTGACTATCAGGTAGAAACCGAGGGATATATAACCTTCTAATTGTTTCATGCAGCATAACCAACATAAGTTTTATTCTAGTCTCTAAGCAGTACATAGCAACAGTTCGGCGAAATTTCTTTCAATGGGAACAAAAGCAAATTTGAAGCAATGAACCTTTTATGCTGAAAAGATTTAAAGAAACATAATTATTCTCTTGCGTTATTATTCGTGTATGCCTGTGTTCTATTTGAAATTGCACAATGCTCGTTGAGAACATCGCGAGCTATTTTTTCCAGAAAACATCTACATGTCAAACTATTATTACCAAAATTGATTCAATCTCGAGCCTTAGCAAGATCACAAGTCGGCTGACAAAGATTTATCCTTGGGGAGCAGGGATGCACCCGCCCCCATCAATTGGCCCGGGTTCGATTCCGGCCAGGTGCTATATGTGGGTTGAGTTTGTTGTTGGTTCTCGCCTTGCTCTGAGAGTTTTTCTCCGGGTTGTAATCTGCGGTTTTCCTCCCTCCACAAAAACCAACATCTTCAAATTCCAATTCGGCCAGGCCGATATAGGACGTGCATGAAAACCAGGTAAGTCTGATGTGGCTTCCTCTCTAAATATTGTAAATTTATTTTCCCCTTCATGGATGGCACAAAAACGGAAGAACTTGTTGTACAGTTTGTAAAAAAAAAAAACCAAAAAAAAAACCGTCCAGCCCCCTACTCGATTTACCTCCCCTACAGGCACGTAGCCTAGCCCAGGTCAAGTTAACAATCGGCCGTGTTCCCTCAGGCTTACCTTCGAAACTTCTTCTTTCCATCCGCTCTGTCCTTGAGGTGACTGGAGTCGAGCTGACAGATTTTAGCACCATTACAACAAACATCCCCATACACAAGAACTTCAGTTGTCCAAGACGCTTCATAATGACCAGCAATTGACCCACGAATCATTCAAGATGGAATTGAAGAAACAGCACAAAACAAAAAAGCTCCAAAATAGTGAACTAAGCCCTGCAACCGTACGATACGACGACCCCTTTTGAGGGCTTAATTTATATAATTAGCTTTTTTACGGTCTTTCGATGATTGAGGAAAATCTTGTTTGCAGCTGAGCTAATAAGATTGTAGATCATTTTAACTTCATGCATTCAAATTTCATTTTTTCGTTCTTCGAGATCTCGGGAGGGAAGTGCCATATTGAGTTAATGGGACGCAGATGTTATAAAGTGATCTAAGAAACGAGTACAAGGCGGCCACGACATTTACCACCGCAGTTTGCGAGATTGACAAAATTGGATTTTTAAGTTACCACGGAAAGAATAGCTCGAATGGAGTATTCACAGGGCAAACAGTGTTCTTATTCACGTCATAAATGAGTTTGAATTTATTTTAATGAATACCCAATAGAAGATATGATACGGGCTGCGATTGGATAAAAACTATTTGCAAACATAAAGGAGAACACATCAGGGTATATTTGCTTGAAATACTATTTTCTATTTAAGGTCATAAAAAAACTAATTTCCATGCTAAACTTCTCTGATACAAACACCTTGGATTAAAAAAAAGCAGTCGAAAAACACTCGTGCTTGTATTTTCTATCGTTAGCAAAACATCTCTTGTGTCTCAACTGGTCACTGTAAAGGTATACTACTAAGAGTGTTTTAATTAATAAAGAATCGCGACACTTTATCAAAAGGAGGAAATGATCACATAACGGCCTTAGCTTTGCCAACCTTCGGAAAATATCGCAGATAATGTTGTAACTGATAGAGCCTTCGTAAAAGGTTCGGACATTTTCGGTGGGTACTCGATCGCTCTTCGTCAATGGATGAAAAATGTTCAGGGATTATTCGTAACATGATGTTCCAGTGACCTCCTCACAAGGCTCGGATATTTGTTATTTACTTGTTATTTGTTATTTAGTCGGAAACGACAGAAATCAATCAGCTGTGGTAAAAATTTAACGAATCTAAAAAATTAACAAAATTTCGTCGTCAGATTTAATAACAATGCTTGGGGTCGCATTGAGGAACATTGGAAGGGTTACTATTTTTAACTTTACTTTATGGACCTGGTCAATATTCTCCATCAATAAGAGCAACTACTTATTTTCGCTCCAAGGCCGCGGAAAATACCGCCGTCTGATTGTTTGCATTAGTCAAGTTGCAAATTCTCCCCAATGAATGCTGTAAATTTCTTCGAATGTCAGTTAGCTTCAGTTCTGCGATCGACGTTAATTATTATTCTAACGGTGAATCACTTGTCTGCTCGGTGATGTCACTGAACTCATTCGTCATTCCACTTCCTCATGTTAATTAATTAAAAATACTGATGAAAATGGCAATGATAGACGGATCTTGTCTCGGATCGGCAAATCCATCAATATGCATGGGCAATGCAGTTCAGTTTTTTTGCATTGTGCAGTGGAGGTTCAATAATTATAACCATGCCACTTGGAATAAAACTGATTCACCGCTAGACGTTTTGCACAGGATGATTTCAAAAAGTCGTTAGATCTATGTCGTGGGAACGGGTGCCTGAATAATTTTCAATTATGAACACGTAAACGGAACCGTCTGCCGATGGAATCCCTTCACCATGTTTTCTTATAAATGTGTGATGAGATCAGCTTGCATGGAGAACACCTGAAAGATAAGTTTAGTCTTCAGGGAATCAAACTGCAGCCTGCGAGACTGCATTTAATATTCTTTTAGAGTTAACACCGGGTGCATGAAAGTCAGTGTTTGTTCATTAGTTAGCTTCGTGGGTGGGGGTGGGGG